CCTAAACCCTAAGCTCCGAAACCCCTAAACCCCTTAACCCTAAACTCCGAAACCCCTAAACCCTAAACCCTAAACATCCACACTGTCTTCGGAGTCCATAATCCCAGTGGGACCTTGACATGCATCCACCCCGCGAGTCGAACTTCTGCTGTTGGTGAAAATGGTGAGGGTGGGGAGCCGGATATATGACGTGGGGCATCCCACACTTGGTTGGCTGCATGCGGGTTTGAGCCTGCTTTACAGGCGCTTCTTGATAGGGTGTGAGAAGGCTTCTGCCTTGGAAGCCCTCGGGTGTAGAGTTGTTGGAAGGGTTTGTTGGTTGTAGAATGTGGGCGTACCTGGCTGGACACTGCAAAACTTGAAGCAGAATTTGCTTTTGCCCTTCTTGCGTACCCACACTCACCTCGAGGATTTTATCTGGTTGCAAACTTGTCGTGCCCCCGCTCAATTGCATACTGCTGGTAGAGCCTTTGACAAGATTGACAAGCGAAAGTTCCGTCTCCGTGTGGATGGGTCAGCAAGCAGTGGCTGACAGCGATCGTTCGCAGCGTTGACGGATCAGAAGCTGGGAAAGCCTGTGGCCAGTTCGTAGTCAAGATGCACGAGCCTGATGGCTGCCCTGACAATCGTGGCACAGCGTGCCGAAGGTGCTGTCGGCTAATTGCGAAGTCTTTTGCCTGGTCTTTGAATTTGGGTATTAGGCAAAGACGATGCTTTGCAGTCGGAGTGTTGATCTGCAGACATAAATACGACGATCAGCCTGCGCAGCAACTCTCTCATGCCCATGACAACCCCTACTTGGAGGTTCATGGGTAGTTATAAGTGGGGTTATAAGTCCCCTAATATGGTTTATAAGTATAGTCACCTTACTTATAACCCTACTTATAACTACCCATGAACCTCCAAGCAGGCAAGCTCGCAGCCGCCCGGCCACACCGACGGGAGCTAGCAACGCCGAGGACGGAACGGTTCGAGCTTACGGGTTCTGTTTGTGGTTCGGAGTGCAGCGGGGGTGTCGGGGTCGTGCGGATGTTACTCAAGTGTTCTTTTCTCAAGTGCTGGGCAACTAACTCGAATGGGGATTCATGTTGGAATCTATCAGCAACACAAGCTCTACCCCAGTCGCTTCCAGCATTCCTCCTGTTTTTGAAGCACCATTCTCGAACCCAGACACGCCCCTTGTCAATCCGAAGCACCGAGCCATCGCCTCCCATCGCGAAATCTTGCTCACCAGCATAGCCGCTTGAGTTTTCTGACTTCGAATCCTAACCCCAAACGAGCTGCATGCTGCAAGATCCCGGTGACCAATGTGCGAGTGGTCTGCCGAATTCGGCCCATGAACGACCGCGAGAAGAAGGCAGCCCTGTAATGACAGTTTGAGGCCGTTGTTTTATTCTACATCCGTAACCCGGAACCCTCAATCAACCTGATGGTGCATCGGAGAGGTCATTGTCGTGATTGCGACAACGATAAACCACAACACCGTTACTACTATAACTTGAACAGCGGTTCGGGGGTACATTACAGTTGCTGCATGGGGACTGCCACGAGAGGATGCTGCAGTTAATTCACATATGCTGCCATGTCTGCATTGCACTAACGGCTGATGCTCCTATCAGTTTCTATCCAGGAATTGAATCTACCATACTTGCTTCCACTATCCCTAAACCCTAAACCCTAAACCCTAAACCCTAAACCCTAAACCCTAAACCCTAAACCCTAAACCCTAAACTAACCCTATATCTGATGAGGATTGTGGAGACCGTAACCCGAAACTTCAAACTCTGAGCCGCAAGCCCTGCAACCTGAGTGATCGCCTCGCTGTGACGGTCAACCGTCTTAACTTTGGGTTTAGGGTTTAGGGTTTAGGGTTTAGGGTTTAGGGCTTATTCATGGCCTCGTGCCGAAACCTGATCCCCAGGCAGGAGCCACACCCGCAGCAACGGCTTCCACAGAGCGCCGAGAGGTCGCAGTGGTGCCTAGCTCAGAGGACTCTTCATGCTTTCGGGAACAGATTTGGGAATCGTCTTCTAAGCCTGTCCGTTGTCTCTTGACATCACTAGGGCTTGCCATCCCCGCAGAGCCCCAGTGCTTCGTTCCTCGGGCGGGACCCTGTGCGTTGCTAAGCAAGCTCCGCCAACAGGCTGCGCCCCGCTGCTAGTTAATTAATGAGATCCTTTTCCAGTCAAGTCACCCCTAAACCCTTAACCCTAAACCCTAAACCCTAAACCCTAAGCTCTAAACCCTAAACCCTAAACCCTAAACCCAAAGCCGACCAAGCTTCACAGCCAGAAGCTGACCCTGAACGAAGCTGGAAAACTGGATCTGGAGACTTTCAAAGCACAAAGCCTTTGCGAATAAAGCCTTAATCTGCACCCAGAGCCCAAACCCTCAACTCGAAGGAATAAACTTCAACCTTGAAGCATAAATTCAGTGATTTAGAGTTCAGGTCCGAATCCTCGCAGGTGGAACCCGACAGGCTGCAGCCTTGGACTTGCTGAGCCTTTCGTTTTGGGGTTTCAAGGTTGAGAGGTTTTGCGTCTTAAGGTTTATTTGTTTTTTTGGGGAAGGGGTGAGGTTTGTAGGGTTTAGGCTTTAGGGTTTGGGATTTGGTATTTTTTGGGGTGTAGAGTTTCAGGGTTCAGAGTTTAGGGTTCATTGCTGCTGGCATAAGAAGCATACACAATGCTCATGCACTGCTACGCACGAGATCGCTTGAGTTATTGTAGATGGACGTAGCTTCATGAAACAACACAACTACGAATGAACGAAAACATCTATTTACATTTGTGTATGTATGTGTGTACGTACGTATGTGTACGTATGGACGTATGTATGTATGTATGTATGTATGTATGTATGTATGTATGTATGTATGTACGTATGTACGTATGTATGTATGTATGCATGCATGTATGTACATACATACCTGAACAGATGTCTAGTTATACAGACTTATCAATACCTAAGTCTTTGTGTAGCGTTGTGAGTCGTGTTTGCACAAACACTCTGACATATGCTTAGCTTAGCCAGACAAGAAACTTCTGCGAGTAGCCGTCGTGTCGTCTTTGCGTTCGTGGTCGTCGTTCTAGTCGCAGGAGAAGCAGGAGATGCGGTGGTTCTGTGGTGGGCGGTCTTTTTGAGGACGATTGCGCAGCCAGCCTACTGCATGGCGTACGTACAGCAGCAGGAAAAGAAGAAGAGCAAGAGCAAGAATAACGCAACATCAGTAGCAGCATCGATCGCTGCAGCAGAACAAACCGGCAGAAAAGGGTGACAGGTGAGCTAGCAATCTTGCATGGCCTTGTTTGACATTAAAAGCACATTGACCATATTCCCTTGGCTCCTGTTCGAACTGCTGCTACTTCTTGTGCATCGGTATGGGCCTACGACCGATTTCTTAAATTGCTGTTGCTGCTCTGTCCTTGTTCACATCGCTGATCATCGCTGTGTTCGTGCAGATTTGAGGGGTAAGGATTGTCGTTCTTGCTATGCATCGTGGTGATGTTTCTATGACGCCTATCGTCGATTTCGTTGGCATTGGTTGTCAGCGTTTGGCGAAGGTCAGGTCCACCTTCCACTTCGATGATGTCCTCACGTCTTTCAGCAGCCAAGAAGATGTTTTCCGGGCGACTCTGCAGCCTCTGGTGGGCCAGGCCGGGAGCTTAACAAACGCCTCCCTTCCTGCTGGAGCTTTGTGAGAGTTGGTGCTGTTCTTACAGCTGTTGATGCATTTGGCTTCGGGGGGTGTTGATGATGTCGAAGAAGGCGACGACTGCGGAGTTTGTCGTTGTTGTTGTGACTGGTCGTAGTGAACGGACAACTTACTACACTGTCCACGAATGGACGGTGGCCACAGTGGACGTGGTGGTGATGGCCGTGACACCGAGGATTGCGATGCTCGTAATTTTCAGTGCCTCCATTGCGCAGGTGTTGGCGGGTTACGAGACTACAGCTTTTGCCTATGGTCAGACGGGCACTGGCAAAACGTGCTGCACTCAGCTTTGCTGGCCTTGGGACCAACACGCTGGCTTGCTCCTGTTCCGAGGTACACGTGGCTCGCGCCATGCTTGTTCTGGCTGTGGTGTCCTCGCGGGGTCTGGAGTTCGTCCCGAAACCGTCTGAAAGTGACAGGTGGTTTCGCACCCCTAACTTGGATGTATAGTAGGCATAGTCATGTGGGAGTTTCCAAAAATTAGGGTACCTTATTTTGGGGTCCTTATAATAAGGATCCTACTATTTGGGGTACTATATTAGGGTCCCCTATTTTCGGAAACTCCCATGTCGGTCATTCCGCTTCGGTGTTTGGGCAGTCTTTTCATCGCCTCGAGCTCAGAGACTCAAACCTCGAAAGAGCCCAAAATCATTGGAGACCTCAAAACCCACTGCTTGGGACAAAGCGTGTTGCAACACCGGCTGCTTCTTGAAATCAATATCCTAAACCCTAAACCCTAAAACCTAAACCCTAAACCCTAAACCCAGAGATTTCTTATTCCTGGTCTCCCGAGCTCTGAAGTCGAAGTCCGAACCCCTGAGCCCTGAGCTCCACAGCCTGGGCCCCCTACACGAATATAACTTTTAGGGTTTAGGGTTTAGGGTTTAGGGTTTAGGGTTTAGGGTTTAGGGTTTAGGGTTTAGGGAATAATGTAGCAACAGCAATAAAAGTACAAATAGTAATCGGACTAGGTGGTAGAATATTAGAAGTAGGAATAAGGTTATCAACAGTAACAGCACTGGAAAGGGTAAGTGTAAACCCTATCTGCAAAACCAACCCAGCCATGCCCGGCAAAGCCCCTACACCCGAATTCCGAAATCCAAAACTACACCAGAAATCCGGGAGGACCCGGAACCCCGGACCTGAACCCTCAGCCCTACACCCTGAACCCTAAACCCTGAACCCTAAACCCGAAGCATCAGGAATCAAGACTTAACGTGCCAGGATGGAGGGCCAACTCGACTCAGCAGAAGGCCCACCTCCATGCGATAGTCTTTGACGAGGTCTAAGTTCAACGGGCTAGGGTTAAGGGTTTAGGGTTTAGGGCGTAGGGTGTCGAACGGAATGAGGAAGTTTGTCGAAAAGAACACAGATCTGAAGTTTCACGGTAGTAGGTTCAGGGGACGGTAAGCAACTCAAGCCGGTGAAGGAGCTTCGAATACGAGATACACCTCAGCCAATGCAAGCGAGAGACTTAAGAAACGCAGGGACAAGGTTAACAGCCACAATGCATATGACGACCTTTTTCGAGCATGATGCGACGAAGGAGGAGTGGATCAAAAGACACTTCAGATACACCATAGTGACAAGCCTCGACATCAACACATCTGAACGACACGAAGACTCAAAGCAAGACGGCAGAGTACGAGGTAGGGGAAGTGGTGATATGCAGAGAGTATCTAGAAACGATGAGATGCAAGTTTAACTTGGAGCCTGCGCATGTCATACCGCTTTTTATTCGACGAGCTATGGAATAAGTCGCAAGAGGTTCTGATAGTTATTTCGTGGAAGCACTCCATATTCACATACTACCATGTACACCTGCCACCGTGTCCAAGGTAGTAGCAGTAGCATAGACGATGCCATAACAATCTTCGAGGTTACTACGGAATGGCTTTACGTAGCCATCACCAGAAGTACTGATCTAGTGCTTTTATAGCACGGTTCGGGTGTGAAGGAAGACGTATTCAACAACAACTGTAGGTATCTATATTATATGTGTCGAACCATTAAGACATACCGAGAGCAAGACCACTCGGCAAAGGGGAGGGTAGAATACACACATCTTGTAACTGCCGACCTGCTTCTGGAAGGGTTGAGTGGCTGCAGGATCGAGTTTCAACTGAAAATGGAAAAGGGTATCATACATACAAGCTTAAAAGAGCACAAAGGAAGTAAAACTCAGAATGCCATACAATGGACAACTTTGTGGCATACTGTAAGAGTTGTAACAGCACAGAGAGTAACAAGAAAAAGGTTTTAAACGAGTCTTTTCAGACTCTCCAGTTCAACAAATATGTTCGAAAGCTTACTATCAGCAATCAGAGACCTCACCAGCACCATAATTACAATACTTAGACGTTAAACTAGCCAATGCAGAAAATAAGACCTATCACCTTAATTACGATATTTAGACCCTCAAACTAGTCACTGCAGCAAAACCGATGAATTTCCAGAATTCGATCGACAGCATAGCGACGAAGACACAATATACATAAGTAGAAAGCATGCCTATATCAGTTGTCTCAGCAACCGAGACATCAGCGAACTCAAGCCATGCATCTTGGAATATTATGATTACTATGAGATCATTGAAGCCGGAGATAGCTACAATGTGAAGACGGGTGGAAGGTAGAGGCCGTTTGAATCTATCTTTACAGGGGCATTTGCAAAGATACCTTACGGTATACTTGGGGCAAGATATGTTACTGGGACTTTTTCAGAGATCAGGGCCCAGGAATGCTCACGGGTGGGATGGGGAAAATTCGAGATTTTTGGGTGAGCTGTTGGGAAGTGTAAGGGTGGGTGGGGGGGGGGAGGGGGGTTCGGAGTCGTAAGCTTATGTCGGACTTCCTCCACCGTGGCTAGGAAAGGGTGAAGTCTCGATAGTTACAGATGAACATGCACGCCTGTATGGTTTTTTGAAGAGATTCTGAAAAGGTTCAGGAAGAAGTAATACTAGCATCCTCTTATGGTCCCTATGCAGTTGTATGTTTATGCTTGATTCGAAATGGCAAGAACCCGGCTGTTCTGCTCAGGGGGCTTGGTTTGGCGGTGATGGGAGGTCGTCAGTAGTAGTGTTAGTCGCAGTGGTGGGTTGGAAGTAGTCGTGGTGGCGACGGTTGCAGTGGTGGTAGAGTGGGCACAGATAATGATAGTTGTGGTGGTAGCGGGCGGTGGTATTCGCAAGGGCAGTAGTAGCCGCTGTCGTTGCACTGGCGGTGACAGTACTACTGCTAAAGCCTCTACGACGACGACATGATCGATGACTACTACTCTTAGAAGCATCAGCGGCTCGTAGTGCTGTTACGACCACTGCAACGATTAAAAGCAATTTCGAAGTCATCGCGAAGATTGCAATGTTGGCGCTAGCATGTGTATTGCACTTTCTTGCTGGAATAAGAGTGAACAGAATATGAGCAGGTGTATAGGTACACATGCACACACACACACACACACACACACACACACACGCACACCAGCAGAGACATTGTGCTTCCACCATGATGTTCCAAGTACAGATGCTCAGGGCGTGGCTTGGTTCCGCGCACGGCCGCAGCTGTGCTTGAAGCCCTCGTGGCGGCCTTACAGAAGGATGCTTTTGCAATTCCCATTCTAGTGTAGGAGTTCTGAAAGGTTTGTGTGCGGGAGTACGATATGATCTTGAATGCCTTTGACAAAACGACACTCAACATGCTTATCACATTTAAGCTGATAGTAAAGACGCTGCAATTCCCAGTACTCCCGTTACAGATCTTAGATGTGTTTGGATGCACAGTCGGATTTCGCAAAGGGCCCGGAGAGGAATGTGAAGATTGGCGTCTTAGTTCCCCAAAGCTCAGTTCTCTTGTTTCGCTTCTTTGGGTCTGCTTGTAAAGATTTGCATTTCTGCCTTACTTTGCATGTCCTACTTTCATTCTTGCTCCCACTGTTAAGAGCCTTTCGCCTGGCCAGAAGCTGTCCGCTAGTTTGCAGATTGGTCTCTGCTTTCGACATGCTCATTCCAGGCTCACCCCGAGTTCACGGAGAGCACGGTGACCGTGTCCTATCTGGAGATCTACAACGAGGCAGGGTTGGGGGTTTGCCAGGCTTCAGCCAAATCTTCAAACCTGCCATTCCCAAGCCTCAGATCAAGCCTTGCTGTTGGCTCGACACAGGCCCTTGCATGTATTTTCTTTAAGTGCTTTGTGACTCTTGCGGTTTCAAAGCTACAGCACGGCTCAATCCTCCAAGCCCTAGACCCCTATCCACTACTTCCCAATCTTGAACACTACACCCTCAACCCCTGTGTCCTGAGACCCATAACCCTAAACCTGAAGCCCAAACCGAAAAGCCCAAAGTCCAAAGCCTGAACTCTGAACCCCAGACCTTGCCTGCCCAATAGGGCTCCCCATGGACTCAGGGCTATGGAAAAAGGCCTTCAAAAAACACGCAAACCTTCAACCCCAAAGCCTAGTTAAACCCTAAACCCTAAACCCTAAACCCCCCAAACTGAACGCAACGCTCCGGCGCGAGGAGTTGAGCGACCTCTTGGCCACTGCCGAGCGCCACCCAAAGCTGGACCTGAAGGACCGAGAGCATTTTTAGGGATTAGGGTTTAGGGTTCAGGGTTTGGGGTTTAGGGTTTAGGGTTTTGATAGATGGACAGATAGATGGGTAGTTGTCTAAATCAGGGTCCCTTTTTCAGTCCCCAACATAGTACGGCACCCTGATACAAAGGACACCAAAACGGGATTTGGAGAACTACCCAGATAGATAGATAGATAGATAGATAGCAGACATATCTGATAGATAGTAGATAGAGAGGTAGATACGGATAGATAGATAGGTAGAGAGAAAGATGGATAGACAGATAGATGGAGACGGAGATAGACAGCGTCTTTGGGGTGCTTATCATCAAGACCATCGTGATCGTCACTTTGTACCATTGCAAGTCAATGTTAATCGTGGCAAGATAATTCTTCTTCCTCGTCTCTTTATCATTGTCGCCCATAATTTCTGTATTGTTCAGCTTTTATATGTTGGTATTGTAGGCTTTGGTTGTATACTGGTCATCAGCATGCTTCTTCTGTTGTCACTGCCGAAGCGACCATGCTTAGTGGTTTTGCTTGCGAAGACTACTCCGCCAATATGTCTCAGAACCCTATATCACCCTGTGATGAGAGCACTCCCACAGCCCGGAAGTCTGTGCAGGATATTGGCAGCGGTCGTGGCGTCTGCTGCCAAGGCCTGTCAGAGGCACTGCAGCCACTCGTTGCGTCGTTGGGGTCCCTAAGCCCAAACCCAAACTCCTGACTTCCCAAACCCGGAACCTTTCATCTTGCACCCCAGACGGAATCCCAGATCGAAAAATGCAAGTAGGTCGATTTAGGCCTGAGGGCTTCCAGCTTGTCACACCCAGATTCACCCAGGTTCACTGAACCTGCAACACCAACAACTCGAGTACCTTGGCTCAGGCCAACGCCTAGTTTTCCCAAATACAGGTGGAGGCCAAAACCCAGCTCGATCAGTCCAGGTTAGGAGCATTGGTGAATCTGTGGATCGCATGAAGCGTTGTGGGACGACTGTGGCTCGGCTTGATCCTCTTCGCCGCCCCTTCCCAGAGTTGTGGCCATGATATCTGTTCTGATGATGAAGACAGGTGCGAACCATAAGGATGGTACCCATGAAAGAATCTCCTCCTAGTCCGTTTGTTGCAACGACAACAACAACTACTACTATT